TAACGAATTTGTGATATATTTATTTTAATGTCAACGTTTGTTTCGATTAAGTTTATATTTGAGGGCGTGTTTATCTTACCGTCTTAGTTACGTATGGCGAAACTGTCGCCATTTCTTCAAGATTATAGAACATTCGTGAATAAAGAATTGTTACGTATCTGCTTGTTTGTTAATATCTCTCCAAGAATACTACTAATTTTTTATCGGACAGTGGTGATTTTGTGAAAATATTATCTTACTTCAACGGTCCAACAATTCAGTGCCTAACAAAGCTAGCTAGCTTACCGCCAAATTATATATACGTACAACTCGCTGGATACCAAGGAGACTCTGAACTAGAAAGACGATTTAGGCTATTTGTAAGTTATTGAAATTTCTGTCTATAAAACTTTGTTTGTAATAATTAATGGTTGCTATTGTAGTTAATAGTGTTGTATATATATATTAAAGCTTATTTGTGTCAAAACCAAAAACGGTGTGAACAAATCTTGTTGACGAATAGCGTAAATTAAATAAAATACCGGCATTTTCTAAACCTAAATCCAAGGTACGTCTCAACTAGTAAAAGTTAAATTATTTAACGCGACCTTGGATTATTTCAAATTCTCAATATGTAACAGGGGCTCAAAATAAAAAATCCACAGGTTGAAGCTTATATGTCTTTTGTTTACATAGACGTATATGTATATATATGCACTTTACATTTTTAAACCAATGAGAAAAGTGATGTCAGGCTCAGAGTTACTGTCAATACACACTATTTTGACAATAGTTATCTTGAGTAACTTGTACTAGATTATTCACTTTTCTTATCAATTTGCCCTTCTTCTTGGAAAGTCGTTACAGCAAGAGAAAACCTTTCAGCAAGGCGACAAGGACCATCTAGCAGTCCCTAATAAAATAGTTTTTTGGTCAACGAACTAATACAGTATACGTTAACCAGTCAGAAAAAAAAAAGTTATCCAAGCCGCATTGGGTTTTTATGAAGCATTTACGCTTTGATCGAAGTAAGAAAATAAGAAGTAGATATTAGCAAGTAAAACCTATTGTGAGTATAACAGGATTAAAGATTTAAAATATACCTCAAAGCTTTGAAGTTATGTTAGTTCATTAGTAGTTTTCTATATTTTTAATTGGTTTTAACTGAATAACCACAATGGAAGTGGAGCATTGAGATGATATTTGCTGTAATGCAACATAGTAATTTCAGTTCACACTTTTTTAACGTGGTAAAAACCCCGTAAAGTGTTCAAAGGAGTGACAACAAGCGTTCAGACCATTAGAAGCAAGTTTTGTAATAAAGCCTTAAGCTATACTGTAATTTTATTCTTATTTGTGTTTTCTTTTAGTTCCAACGTCTCTTCCTGTCCACAAGCAACTGAGTAATAGAAACATCAGAGGATCTTTCGACCATTCGGATCAATATTTGTTTCAACCAACATCTGCGGATCAAAGTGAAGTGTTTAATTTTAATGTAAGAATGTTTCTTTCACTTGTTCAGTCGAACTGGTGCATGTGCTTATAATATTTTCTTACGAACGTTTAAAGTTTATTTTTCTAATACACGCACATTATTCAGGGTTGTTAACTCTGTGGTAGTTAAGGAAAACATCTTTGTTTATCTATGAGGTAACTTTAAATAAATAAATTTTCGGTTAAGTAAAAACGTGAAGTGGAGTAATCTAAGGGTCGCGGGTTCGAATCCCCATCTCACCAAACATGCCCGCCCTTTCATCCGTGGGGACGTTATAATGTGGTGGTCAATCCCACTATTCGTTGGTAAAAGAGTACCCAAGAGTTGGCGGTGGGTGGTGATGACTAGCTGCCTTCCCTCTAGTCTTACACTGCTAAATTAGGGACGGCTAGCGCAGATACCCCTCGTGTAGCTATGCGCGAGATTCAAAACAGGCCTCGTTTTTAGAATCTCTCGTCAAAATTAATACTTATTAAACTGCTTTCGATATTTTGACCGGGGTTAAAATCTCCTGTACAAAATTTCCATTGATTAAAAGTTTAAAGTCAATCATTGCTACGAAACTGACAGTTCTCTGAATGCCAAGTACAACGGTGTAAATATTTATTGCGAAAGGTATCATGTTTTGTCTAGGGAAACTTCCTGTAATAAAATTGTTAATTAAAACAACGTCGGAAAATAATTACTCTCCAGCGTGAACACATATTCAAGAATCTTTCTGTAAAGCTCGCGAAAGTAAGATTCCAGAGTTCAACAAACTGAAGTAACATTAAATTCAATAACATACCAAAGCAGTTAACCACACTGAAAAAAGCAAAAACATAGCGCTTAATTTTAAACAAATGCATTAATTTTTGTGTTCCAGAGGTGTAAAATTTAAGTTCTCTGATACTGAATTTTATCCTAATTCACCTAGTCCAGATTTTCGAATATGTTTTTATAGACCTTTCCTCATTTGATTTTCTAACATAACTTGTTCCACCAATCCAGGTTCTCCAGAGTAACAAGAAGTGGTTTTCAAAAACAACTTGTATTATTTTTGGTTTGGATGCTGATATATCAGTTCTTTTGATTGTAAGTTTATACAATTTTTGTAAATTGTTGAGATATGAATTTCTAAAATTAGTCCTGTATAAGAACAATGCATACTATATTTGTTATCTAAGTAATTTTATTTTTCTATTGTCTATGTCAATGCATTAATTGTGGATATTAACAATTCTATTGATTTTTCAGCTTCGTCCAAATACAAATGTGCAAATTATTCATATATACTTTTTCAACGAACTTAAATCTATAAGTTTTAAAATGTACTTATCAAAACTAATTAAGTTGAAAATCTTCACACGACTTATTAGGGGACAACAGAATGGGGTAGGGCACCGCTTAACCATCGTCAGCAAGGAAATTTGGAACTTACTGACATGGACAGTACCAGATGGGAACCAAAAGACAAAGACATTCAAACACAACATGAGAGGCTGAGCAGTTTGAAATCGTCTTACAAGGTCTGACGAGTAGTTATAGTGTTGTTTTTGTCTTGTCAAATATTCATAATTGATAAAATAAACAATGTAGTGAGTTAAAAACAAAGAGACTCAAAACTCGAGCGCTTGCATATAGTTGACTATTCGTATTTATTCTGAAGAAGAGTAGTCAACTATTCGAAAGTCTCTTTTTTGAAATTCATTGCACCTTTTGTGAGTGGCCCTGTGTGCTAACTCTTTTATCATAATTAACAATTTAGTTTAAATGTTAGTAATAACTTTAAGCTGACACTGAAAGATTGCACTTCTTCCGCTCCAAATTTGTGTTTGGCATTATTCAGATAGGATATTCCAACAGCACCAAACTACTAGCAGTATAATGCATGGTTTACGTTTCGTTAACCATAGAAGACATCTTCGTAGAATTCAAGAAACTTTAAAATCGTTGCTGTATTTTATCA